TCGGAAAACCCTGTCCGCGCTGAGAAGTGGGCGGGGATAATGGGGCGGGGCTTCGCGGGGAAAGTAAACCCTAGTGTGGTCTAGTTATCAACCACCTTATTGTAAGGGGTGTGTCCGATTTGATTTGAAAAGTGTCCGATTTGGTTTGAAAAGTGTCCGATTTGATTTGAAAAGTGTCCGATTTGGTTTGAAAAGTGTCCGATTTGATTTGAAAAGTGTCCGATTTGATTTGAAAAGTGTCCGATTTGGTTTGAAAAGTGTCCGATTTAAAGTGAAAATGGTATATATAAAGGCAGGCTTGAGTGTACTAGCAGTGATTCTAAAATCTGTCAACTCAGGGGGACAGTTTATCTGGTGGAATGTCAAGGATGCGGGCAAAAATATGTGGGAGAAACTGGGAGGCCCTTATACAAACGGATCGACGAAGGAGCGCGCTGGGAAATCCACCTTCTTACCCTAATAGCAGTTTCTCCCGGTATCGCATAAAGGAGCACGCTCACCAAGAACCACCCTCTTTAATCATCAAAGTACTACACCGCTCGGTAGAGATCGCAGTGGAAAGGGAAATATTAGAGGCCTTGGAAATAAAACGGCTACTACCCAAATAAACAATAGGGAGGAACTACGTGACATTATGCAAGTCATAATGTGATCGCGTCACATCCCACTATTTAAGGGTGTGGTTAGGGTGGGTTGGCTAATTTGCCGGGATATTTGGGTAAGTGGCTTGGTGGGGGAGGAGTCCGTGCGGGTTGCATCTCATATCCAGCGGAAAACAAGCTAAATAATTTCAGGCCTGAGGAAGGTGCTACGCACCGAAATATCGCAAGATAAGATATTTTGAAAACTTTTGAGACTTTTGCTGTCTTTTGAGTTTTTTGGAATAAACTTTTGGAGTTTCACATTGTTATTACACATTCAAAAATACTTTTCCGTTAACATCATAACATTTTACAATGTGCATTAACATTAAGCAGATTAGGGAAAGGTTATACAGATAGATTCACTTAAGCATAAGGATTAAACGATTTTTGATCGATGAGACTTCTGCGCATATACTTGCGGAGAGTACGCATCGTTTTCCATGGCATCCCACTTTAATCGTCTCATCGAACTTATGGACGGTGTGATTGAGTGGATTCAGGTGGCTGTATAGCGCAAATGCCAGCAGTCCTGGTACGTCGAGAACGCAACACCGTTTGCAAGCTGTAACCAGTGACAGCGTGTTTACTCATGCCCTCTACTCCAAAGCACTTTGAGCAGCACCAATAAATACTTGTTCTTCTTCTTATGCTTGATCCAGTATTTCCGTGAAGGAAACGATTTTGAACGCTTTTCTCAGAAACAATGCCCCCTCCAGTGTCGAAATTGGGAACAGAGTGCGTGTCATTGCTTTTCTTGGTGTTGCAAACGAACCATGTTGGTTACAAACGCAGTTTCATCTGGGCTAACTTCGCTTGCAGGTATTAGGTTGGCGGAAAAGTTCTGTCACACTTTCTCGAACTCAAAATATAGGTTGGAAGGAAAGTCCTGTCACTGTTGTGACTTTTTTCTTTTTTATTTTCTAACTCAGCGTACAATGGGAATCGGTCAACTATATGCTCGTCATTGTTAGCCGCTGCAGTGCTTCACCTGATGGGCAGGTAAGCAATCCCCTCCTCCCAGAACTGAGGAGGCTGCGAGTAGAGAAAGTCAGTGACCTCTCGACTGATGTCATCAAAGTTGCTGAAAGTTTTCTTAGCTAAGAAAGCCTTAAGGAGGCGGAGCAGGTAGCAGTCTTAGGGGACTACGTCAGGAGAATATGATAAGCGGGGACTGGTCTCCCAGCCTTGCTCCTCAATATTTGGTAGGTCTCATAGCAGGTATGGGGTCTCGCGTACTACGAACGAGGTGCCCCGAAGCTAGTCTCGGTCATTTTTCTCCAACAATTTCCACCGGTTTCAGGAGCTGAGCGACACAAATGGTGGCGGTGATCGTCTGTTCTTACGGGGCAGCTCGTTCTGCAGCACCTCCTCGCGTCCCAGGAGCAGCACAGGAGAACCTTTTCGGAATACATGCCCGGTTTGGACTGCTAGAATGGATCTTCTCCTTGAGAGAGACAAACGGTACTGTGTGGGTTGAAATCATAGAGGACCCATCTCTCATCCCCACTAAGCAGTCTCCCGGAAACTCCTTCTGACGAGGGCAGAGAAGGGGAGACTGACCAAGGGTACCCGGGTGCACAGCGTGCCATCGGTCAAGGTATGAGTGATCCATCGAGCCAGTACTTTTCGGTAGTCAAGGGCTTACAGGCGGTTGACGACTGTCAGTTAGGTACATCCGAGTCTTGTCGCAAGACTGCGGGTGGTAGCCTCCGGATCCACCTTGACTGCTTCGAGAATGGTGGATTCTTCCACTGCGGGGCGTCCCAACAAAGGGTTGTCCGAAGATCGTGTCTCCTTTCGCGAAGCGAGCGAACCAACGTAGACAGTCTTGATTGTAGTGGTTTCCTCTGGCATTCACTGTTGATGTTACGGACAGCTGTCGTGGCTCCAGTGCCGCGGGCCACTGATAGAAGATGATGACCCGAAGATACTCCTGTGAAACTGACATCGTAATTAAACCCAGGGAAGAGCAGGCGCCCTCACACGCCTCTTGCAGGAAAGCTCCCAGAGTGTCCTACAAGCATAGCATGTTACGTCATGTACGAGCATCGAGAATCAAAAACTGTAAGCTTTTCAAAAAACACTGACAGGACTTCCCTTCCAACCTATACTATCCCATTACCTGAAGAGGGTTAACCGGTAATGTGAGCACTTATACATCAAAGAGTGGTCTTTCTATTAGTACCACTCGCTTGACTCCTGCTTCTTCTTCTTCTTCTTCTGCAATATGGACAAGAATGTTATCCGCTACCATCGGCACCGACCCCTCCAAGCGCTTCCTCAAACTCTTTCTTCCACCACCCTGACGCCAGCATGATAGCTGCAGATGCCAAAATAATGGAGCTGAATAAGGACGATGCCCTCAATTATCGGACAACCTTCCACGACGCTAATGCTTCAAAGCGGGAGCCTACAGTTTTGATGACGAAGTGAGGTTTGGGTTACCTGTGAACTCAGATTGAGGGAGCTGCGGGTCGTGAAAGTGCTGGATGAAGAAGCTGCTTCCTCGGTCAATGCGTACGCAAAGCAGCTACGAGATCTAAAGCGTACCGTCGATCAGAGGGAAAAATTTGTCCGCACAGCCCGCCCTCATCATGATAGTGCAGCGCACTCCGTCCAAAAAAGTTCGAGCCGTACCTCATGCAATAGAGCTGGATGGCTCTCCCCTTGCACTGGTGTAGCACAGACATTGCTCCTTCTAACTGCGACTTCCGTACTCAATCGTTATGTGGACGAGAAAACCTCCATAACCCGAGTTCAAGTCAAGATTGAGATGGTGTCCAACTTTGCGTCGCGCCTCCCTGCATTGTGAAGCGATGGCATCCATGAGGTGCTCAAAAACTGGCAAGAACCCCGCAGTAACATTGCTGTACACTTTTGATCCTACACGCCTCTCTATAAAAAGGCAAGGACAAGCTTTCTGTCTCGCCCTTGACACCACTCACCTCTTTTCCGTATCGGATGGGAGGGGCGCACCAGGGCCAAGCATCACGTCGCGGAAAGTTTCGGGATTGATACGACCACCCACCTAAGGAGGATGCTTGTTCGACTCTCCCCCTCTCAGTGACTGTGGAAGTATTTGCTCTGTTTGTCAGGATGCAGGTGTACATGTTGTGTTTCATGCGAACTTCACAAAACGGGTATCTGAGTACCTAGGAATATTTTCCAGATCACTTGAACAAAAACAGAGAATCGAAATGGTTAGTTCCTGAGAAATGGCGTAATTCACAAATTGAAACCTCGAAAAAAAAAACTGCGAGACTGGTGTGCTACTTGCTCGTTGCACTCACACAGTAATTTTTAAAGTGGTATAACATCATTCAGAAACCGCCTTTTGCAGAGCGGTAAGAACGATTCGAGTTGTACGGCCATCCGAAACACATTACAGGTTACCAACTTGCATGACGTCTTCAGGTCAAAAAATGACGCGAAAAATCTTTGGCGAACGCGAGTTTTTTAAACCTCCAAATGGATATAAATTCCTTCAGCCACGACTTCGACTAGAGTTGACACAGCGTTGAAACCCGAAAGGTTTTCTTTTTTAATGAATGCAACATCTTGCTGCAGCTTGAACATAACGAAACTGCGCCAGTCGCGTATTTCTTTTGAAAGTCAGCTTCAGCTACTGCATCAGGATCTCGAAGATGAATAGAAACGCAGCACCTAGGTGCTGATCAACACCTCCATGGAACGGGCCACGTATACGACTTCATTTCTGAACGCATCACCCATTCTGCAAGCTACGCCGCTACTGTACTGCCCCTACTGCCCATGCAAATACGACCCTCCCCCTACTGAGGGGCCAAACCACTCCCGGATGCAGATTCCGCGATCGGTGACCGATGGCTGACCTTGACGTGGAGATATGGAAAGAAATATTTATTAAGCAATCTGATAGGAACAAAAAGAATCCCTTGACAACAATAAATATAGATACCCATGAACATTTGAAAACAACAAAAATTGTGCTAGGTCGTTTTACCAATCGCTAGAGCCTTTTGAAAAAGAGCCAAAGAGGAATCACATGACCGAAAACACGCGGACAACAAACTCAGACACAACATCGCCGGCAGTTTTGATAGAACAAAAACATCTCAACTGTAATGAAACTATGCAACGTGTGATATTTCATGATATTGACGAGAATGGATTTGATAGGAGGGACCCAAGACTGAGGTATGGATGCTGAAATTTCACTTTATTGGTGTAATTTTTATACACAACCCACTTGGCTAATGACTCTTACAATTTCCATTTTCTTCGTCAGGTTTTCGTTTTCAGAACCATTCCGTTCGAAACAAAGCGTCCACTTTTGGACGAAGTTCGAAGGACTTGGGAACGATTAGGATCGGTCGTATGCATGGACCTATGAAAGACTTCCTCGCCGAAAGATCAAAGCGAAATCAGAGGGTAAAGACTTTGTTGAAGAAGAAGCGAGTTGGAACGCAATGGATACCAGGATCTGATGAAAAGGAAACGACGCCCTCTAAAGAGCGAAAAGTGAGAATATTAACGCTGAATACGAGTTATCACGTAATTATTCATCGGTTCATTGGTTAACGAGATTAACACACATATTAAACAGAGTTTCAGAAGGATCATTTGAAAACAGTGGCACCTGTAGAAGAACAACAACCTGTAGATGATCGATGGTCAGCACTGAATAGAGATACCCGGAGAGAACTCTACTCCATGGTTAAAGAGAACAAAGAAGAAGAGCTCACAGCATTGATATCTGAACGTGGTGCAGAGGAGCAAAAAGAGGTGATCATCGTGCTGAGTGTCTTTTGATCAGGACGCACAAATATTTTTGGGCTTTCTTTTTTCAAAATTACCTGCGGGATTTGCAGATTTTCAACTATCTGAATACGAATCGCTTTTCATCGGACAACGGAACGTTTCTTCATCTGGCTGCTCGCAGTGGAGCTGATAGGACACTGCGGAATCGCTGGCGCAGTTGTTATTCCAGGAATTTAGACATCTTTGTTTTCCTGTTTCTCCTTTTTTGCGTACAAAAAACTGCTTACCATAAATCAACGATTTGAAACTCGTTGATGTCGTATCTTCAGCCACCCGTTGACCGAAAAAGCACGTTAGAAAATGAACCAAAGTGGCAGGCTTGGAGTCGGGGGTACTAGTTTAGAAAGTACTAGTCTATAATTTCTTGGAATCGTCCTGAATCAAGTTTCGCTTTGAACTTTTACGTGGTTGTTTCAAATAAGCCGCTAGTGTGGAGCAGTCCAAGAGTCATAATTTCATTCGGCCTTGCGATTCAGGCTTCGATAGAAAAGCTACCAAAGACAAATTTTTACACTCACCTCTACCGAGAATCTATGGCTTGTGCGAGAAGAACGGGCTGGTAGCTGTGTAGGTCTGGGACCTTCGTCTTTTGGCAGCGTGCAGAAATAAGGTTAAAGGGTAGCGATACCAGGGTGCCGTTCCGTATTCAGTCCATGCTTCCTCAAGCTGCAGCACTTCACGCAGCAAACCTGCATTCAGCGGTAGGGAACAACGAGAAATGAGAGAACGCAGAGAACTAGCGCCTTCAGCTATGGTTAGGCGTGTGGTCGGCGGAGTTTGAAGACAAGTGCAGGTATCACTACCTTCTAGTCTCGCTCCAGTGAGCTATTAGCTGAAACAGTGGCACGCTGCTGCAGCTGCTCACCTCGCGCATAGCAAGGACGGTTACGAAGATAACAATTTTGAACCCCTTGCTTTCTCAACTGCATTATGGAGAAGTGCCATTTCCTGCACTAAGACAATGAATCCTATTAGGTTGTCGAAAAAGTCCTGCGACACTTTGTTTGAACTATTCTAGAAAAAGACCAAAAATCATTTTGAATGTTTTTATCTCTGATTAGTGGAGAATGTCTCCTGAGGTTTCTGAAAATGGGTATATCATGGCTCCGTGGAAGTTTCAAAGCTTAAAAATACCTCAAAGATCGAGGTACTCCTCGACCTGTCCCATATTATGAGTTCCTGTAGGGCAACTCCCCCATAGTCGAGGAAGCTAACTCTTACGTTGTCTTAAGGAAGGATATCGCTTGCCATAGCAGAGAGTTCCTTTTGCATCAGCGCTTCCAGGCTGGACTTATTCAACTCGGAAGTAGGCAATGTATAGGTAGGCCACCAGCACAGAATGACGGCCCTTTACTCAAGGTTCTTGAGGCGCAGCCGAACGTAACCACCAGTAAGTAGGCAACCTCTCTAGGCTCCACCTAACTGACAACTGCCATGCTTCTCCGCAGTCTCGGTTTTTGGAAAAATTTTTTATGAAGGATGCCCCATGAGTTGAACCCCTCTGACAAGTCATACCGTATGACCGTGACTGGGTTTTTTTTCCTTGTACACACTGGAGGAACATTTGTGAGATCTTGTGGTTGGTAGAGAGTGGTGGGGTCCTTGCGTACATCTTGCACATGTTCCTCGCAGGATCTCTCGAACAGAAAGTAGATTGCACAGCCAAAAGCACATGTGCATGGGAAAAGATTTCAGTAGGTTATTGGTGGGACTTCAAAGCGGTATCTGGATACTAGCATAACGGTAAGGACTACAGTCCTCTCTAACCGACCTCACAACATGGATGACGTCAAGCTTGAATTCTTCAAAAACTCAATTTTTCTCTACCGCGCTCGGCATTGCGAAGACCGCATGTTAAGATCAGGCACACCAAAGATCGTCGGATTCTTCGATCTGAGAGCGACCATACCAGCTTATTCATCAAAGTTAGCAGTCTCTAACTACTACCATTTTTGATCCCTACCTCATCCTTAAGAAGGCAAAAATTCCGAAAATCGACGTCTACTCAAAAATGAGGTCCACCTCTTCTTCTTATCATAGTTGCCGTAGTTCTAGAAGAATGGAAATGAGAAGCTGTGCAAAAGAAGGGCACTAGTCCTAGTCCTTAGTGGTGATAACCTTGTCGATTGGAGATGTCTTTTAGTGACTGAAAATTTAGTCCGAAAAATTGGTCAAAGTGTCGCAGGACTTTTCGACCAACCTAATATTTCAAGGTTATGCCATCGTTCTTCTCTAATATCCGTAGATATGACATTTTAGTCTATTTGGGCGCATTTTGAGAGTATAAAAATAAATAAAGTAAATAACTAAAGTTGAGCTCGCCAACGGATGTTGATAGTAGCGCGCAGTTTTGGCGTAGATGTAGTTTAGGTGCGATCTCCTGTCAAGGTGACAGAGAGTCATCCTTATTGAACGATACCGCTGCTGATTTATTACATAATCGAGGCTGTCTTTAGTGTTGTCACGATGCCCAAGAGACCAAATGCCATTTGCTCTTTTTTATTTGCTCTTGTTAGTCTTTCATGGCGAAGAAGTCGGGACATTGACCGAGTAAATCCACATACTTAAAGACAGCGCAAGTTGGTCTTCAATTCACTCTTCTCTTAACGTTCGATATTTTCAGTATCTGCTAGAGGCTGGGTGTGATCCTTCATTCAAAGACGAGAACGACTTGGTCCCTTATGCTTCATCGGCGAACAAAGCCATAAAGCAGGTTTTCGTCCAATTTCGCACTGAGCATCCAGAGAGCTGGAATTGGATAAGGTGCGCTTTTTCACCAAGCTATTTCTTTCAGCTGATATTATAGGATATTTCTTTCATGAAGAGACAGTGGCTAACAGTCATTTCGTTGATAGGTGTCATATACCGGAACCAGCCCAACTTACGGACGAACAGCTCGCTAAACTGACTGAAAAGAAAAAGGAGAAAAAGCAAAGGCAAAAAGAAAAGATCAAAATTAAAAAGGAGGGGGGGGGGGGGGGCGGGGAAAAAAAGGGAAAGAGGCAGAAGAACTGGTATGTGATTTTCATATATTTTCACAACACGGGATTCAATAGCCTGCTGTTTCTAAGCTGACGTGGCATTTTTGGTAGAAATTATCAGTACGTGATTCATTGAATTCTGCTCTTCAGGCTGCTCGTGCGGCATTCTTGGCGATGTCGGATCGTGAAAAGCGTGCAGCTGCTGCTGAGGCGAGACTGGCACGACTTGAGGGTGGACCCAGGTGTATACAGGTCGGTAATTGTCTCATCTTCACAAGTTACATCTTATTCTTGCATGATTTCTCTCATGATCTTGCAAAGGTTATAGTGCGGAGTAGTGTACACGGGATCCGGTTTCGAGTACATGGAGTTGAAGTTTTGCAGTCCATCATGTGTTGCTTCCCATCGTCGAGGACTGGTACAAACTTAGAAGGATGTGATCGTGTAGCTTTCTTTTCACTTTGTTACGTTCCTATTTGGTTCTTTGAAAGAATAAAAATTTCAATAACAGTTTGTTCCGTTGTACTATAGAGAGCTTTAATGATGCTCCACTACTTCGCGCATATTTTATGTATTTTTCGCCATTTTTTCTATTAGTTTGATTTGACCCATGCCTCTTCCCATTAGTATGTGCCGTCCACACTTACAGGTGTAGACATTAACTGTTTCAGGGAGTTGGCCACGGAGCAGCGCGATGAGCTGTGACCTTTTTTGCTCTACGGTGTTTAACTGAGATAGGAACCATCTAGCAGCTGCTTCGTACTTACCCTCACAATAGAATCGAGTGTGCAGAATAATCGGCTTTTCGGGAGCATGCGCGAAAGTGAGCGGTACCTATCCTCTCCTTTTCGCCCGAAGAGTCGACCAGTGTCTATACATTCTTTATCGCGCATTGTCCCAAAACGCGTTCTCCCGAATCGGAAAGTAGAACGTATCCGTTACCTCAAAAAAGTGCAGAATAGGTGCGGGGCCCATCTTGCCGCACCCCCTCCATCACTTTTTCAAAACATCAGGTGTGACAGTGTACTGCGACGTGACTTTCCCTACAATGAATGTAGAAGTATAATGTATGTACATTGTTTAGAATTAGCGCATTTAATGTTTTGAGCGCTGATAAGATGAGGCGTTATTTAATGTTTTGTCAGCGCTGATACGATGTAGCGTATCGACAAAATATCCCTTTGCCAAATTTGTGTTGAGTGGCGCCATCTGCGTTTGTTCAGGGTCTCTGCAACGTGATCTCACTTGGCGTGTTTTTCAAGATGAGTACCATTGCACGACGTTTGTTATCGTTATCAGCCAGAAGGTGAGTTTCGAAAACAATGGAGAGTTTAAAATGAACTTCTTCGAGACAGTAAAAGAATAACCGTAGCTCTTCCTCCTCTACTTCTGTTACCTGTGCTTTTTTCAGGCCTGTCTCCTACTAGGCGGACTTTTTTTTAACCCTTTTTTGATGATCGTTTTGTTTAGTTTTTGCATCATTGTTACTCACTGTTAGCGTCTTCCCTACTCATACTGCATATTGCCGAAAAGAAAACTTATTAGGAAGGACTGGGACTTTACTTGAAACGTTAAGTGGAGGAATGCACAGGAAACTTGATCTTAGTCACCTGCAGTGTGAGTGCCAAGAATTTCGGTGCTCATGGAGTCGGCTACCTCCGCGGGCAACTTTCCAGCCAATTGCAGACGCCTGACTTTGCTTACGAGACACTAGAGCATTGCATTATCGCAGACTGTGACCGCTCCTTACCCGCTTCTGAGGTAGCAGTAGTAGTATAGGTAGCAGATTAGTTTCTACATCTCTATCCAGCAATTTATAGCAGCTTATTTTCCACATCTCTGTCCAACAATTTGAACTGCACCTATATACCTATGTCCCTTTCCAAAGTACCATGTGTACAGTGATACCGCCTTAAAAAAAAGATAGGCCTAAGCCGTAAGATAGGCCTTAAAGTGTTCTCCTTGATTTTTTTGTTTTTTCTTCCTAGAAGTCAGCGACTATAGATTCGCTACGTCACTACCCACAATATGCAGTAGCGGGATTTGTCCATAAGCCATTTGAGCGACGTTGCGCCTTAACAATTCCACCCTGATTCTTAATTTTCTGGCGCGAAACTGGTACAAGGTTAGCCATGACTACCTTAATCGGAAGTGATGTGTGCTTACCACAGCTTGTGAAACTCCGAGCCTAGAAAATAAGGTGAGCTCAGGTTCTCATTGGGCGAGTTGTGCCGCTAATACTCAAGGGATTAAGATGATACAATACATCAATGGAGTGAAGGCATGCTTCTGAGATTATATATTGCTGGACTGAAGGCTTGCCTTTGAGCACAGTCGCCTCGTGTGCTAAGAAGTAACTAGTCTTGGTGCGCAGATCATGAAGATCCAGTGACAATGATGGTGATTGTACCTTTTGCAAACATGACCTCAATTGGTTCTTATGAATGGTGATGATGATTTGTTGACATAGATGATAGTCGAACATATTCCAGGTTGCAGTCCAGAGAAGCGCTTCTAAAAAAATATGATCCTGTCCAGGTTGGATATTTGTCGGAGCAATGTATTGCTGTAGACGAAGATGACAACATAGTAGGAGGAGTGGCGAAAGGTGATGCTCACCGAGCGGATACTTGTACGTTTCTCTTTCCCTTTTCCTTTTTCCTCCAACGAAAGTAATTAACGGGAGTAGATCCATTGACCTTTTCTGTTTAGTGGGTCTTCATCGAGCTTTCAGTCTTTTCGCATTCACACCAGAGAAGAAGTTGATATTGCAGAAGAGAAGCGCGGAAAAGGTGATTTGCCAAATTGTTTGATGAATTCATAGAATCAAATAATCAAGTGTTACAGGAGAAAATCGTGTGTGAAAGCAATACAGTGCCGTGTTTCAGATCACCTTTCCTTTATTATGGGCGAATACCTGCTGTAGCCACCCACTTTTTACGAATGTCGAGCTCAATGGAGGTCCAGGTGCTGTCGCAGCCGCCGTTAGGAAAGTTGAACAGACTGGCGGTCTGTGGATTTGAGTCCAGAGGAATGTCGTGTGATGGGACGCTTTCTCTACAAGGTACAGTGAGTGTCAGAGTAATGCTTCAGAAGTCACTGCTCTATTTTATTCTTGAAGGCTGTGATGAAGGACTCGTTGTGGGGTGAGCATGAACTTGATTATGTTGTGATTACACGTGATTTGTCGCTCAGTCGTCTTACTCCTAATCCATCTGAAGTGAGCGATGTAAGATTAGTCGACGAGCAGGAATTGGCCAGATGGGTAGCGACAGGTAAGAGACTATTTATGTTAGTTAGTAGTCGCTGTTTACTTGTTTTTTATTTTTCAGAACCATCGTCATTCTCTCCTTGGTTCCTGCTGTTCTACCGTCTACGATACCTATCAGAGTGGTGGTCAAAGCTTGATCACATAGAATCATATCCAGTTGATATGAATATTGTACGAATGAATTGATGTGTCAGTCTCAGCCCGGGTAGATTTTATAGGCTAGTCCTCGTAATAATTTTGTAATAATCGTTGTTATGATGCTCATATCAGCTGCTTATAGTTGTACCCATCTGTTATTTGCCGTCCTAGACGTGGTATGAGCGTGATCGCTCGGTAGCGAAACAGTTGCTGTTGGTGCTCGTCGTTTAGTCTAAGCGACCAAAATACCAGCGCAATTATCTGGCCATATCGTGTAGGTGCCGTCCGCTCTTTACCCTTCATTTGTATGTGCTTTTCTACTCGCAATTGTAATGACTTACTGTTATTTTCCTTGCTTAGCTTTGAGAAGTCAGATGGTTCTGATTGTTTGGTTGTTGTCCAGTGGTTCTACTAGCAGTGTACATGTATAGTTTCTTGGCCAAGCTCCTCATTCCCCGTCGGATGCGCTCACTGGGTTCAACCTTCCACTTGGAAACTGTAGCACATTAGTCCGGAGTAGCTCTTGTTCCACTGTATGTGAGCTCAGTCAGAATGAAGTGCACATTTTTTAATCCTGTTGGCGTCCTTGTTGTACCTTCACTTGACTTCTTTTCCACTTCTTTTTCATTGTCCCGGTTCATGTTCTAGAGGTAAACACCTTGCATTTTTTTCAGTTTTTGAGGATTTTCTGTATTATTTTCATTTCCAGATTGATGCAGTATCTGCCGAACATTGATGTAACTGAATATAGTGACCTTGATGTTAATGTTGCTTTAACGTAGAAGAAACCTGATAAAGAATGATTTCCACTCAAACAATAACTTTGCGGAGTTTGGGGGGTGGTAACCGTATAGCAGTATTTCACTTTTGTTATGCTTCATTGTTAGAATAATGTCCCGAATAATTACTGTATTTTTGTTATTATTAAGTTGCAGCCATGCATTCCATATACTCGAGAGCGAATGCGTTGTTCGCATTTATGCTGTGGGTGCTGGCTGCGGTTACATTCGCCTGCTTTCTCAGCACAGCATTCCTGGATTATACGACTAACGTGGAAATTACTGTGAACAACCCGAGAGTGTGAGTTTTTTTTTGCAATCTGAGTTCAGCTTATTGTATTTGCTAAATCGATAGACGTGAAGTAGGGTAAAAGTAATAAACAGTTTACATCATGTGATAAATCTACGGAAATTGCTTTCAACTAAAGCCCCAGAGTGCGGCCATCCGGAAAATGGAGCGGTGCTTTACATGAAATGTGCACGGCCACACTTAAAAAACGTGTTTTAGTGTTGTCATGATGAAAGGCGCGGCAATAACGTGCAAGGGTTGAAAAGCAGAAAGTTTCGAACACAGGACGGGATGCGCCCATCCTTCCCCTATTGTCGACTGATGGTAGGACTAAAGTTGCACTCCAAATCCGTGAGATGGGGCTGCGTGGCTGCTTTCTTCACCCAAGCGTGGCGGTGGCTGTGCTTTTGGAGAGATGTTTCCGTGCTGACACAATTGTGGTCGTGTCTCCATCGAACACCAGAACGAGTTGACATTTGTCTCGAACTCAGATATCCCAAGAGTAGCCCACTCTGCCATGTTGCCAAATGCACGCCCACTCCACGTTAGAGATTAGAGTTAAGGAGTATAATTAATTACATGTTGGTGCGGTCATTGCTCGGAAATTGACGATACCATTGGAACGATAAGTCATATGAACTGGAGGAGTTGGCACAAGGTTACTTGACTGGTCAGGAACAAAAAAAAAGGAAGTCTGTAAATAGAAAAGTTTGGACCGAACACCAAGTGCGCTCCGAGCAGCATTTCTGGAAAAATCTTATTCTAACGTGTTATTGACCATACCTTCTGCTGTTTTCTTCCCAGGACAGCAACGTTGAGCCCTATGATTCTAGTAATGAACTCCGTGTTCGTCATGTTGATGTCATACACTGTGTCTTCAAGCTGAGAGGAGAGATGGAGCCTGGCCCTGCCTGGTAGTGTGGTCAGCTGACTGGCCCGATTAGTGTGAAGAGTGGCTTCAGATGGTGGTTGTAGCCAACATGACTGACCCGATAAGTGTGAAGACTGGCTTCAGATGATGGCTGTGGCCAACATTTATAAACTGGTAATATGTGCCTTTGAACGTTGAACTTGGTCAGTTATACATAGAAAAGAGTTTTCGTTGTCTAGAAATTGATAGCGCTTTTGGAGGGCTTATATTTCGCAATGATCGAAGCATTTCAAGAATCGCCCTTTGTAATTTGTTGCTAACGAACAAGCGAGCTCTCTATCACTAGCTGCGGGTTAAAATGGGGCAAGTTAAAAAAATAAAGAGGAATTGGAGTTGATATCGGCATCCGAGCATTTGTCGTATCGTTCGTAAGTAACGCAGTGTATTCACTCACACTTGAGTTTGTTTGCAGTAGTTGCAAGGTATTTTTTTTGTCTCAGCATTTCAGTGCGATTTTCCATTGACAAAATTGACTTTGGCGTTGTTGTCACAAAATCTAGCTTCAGCCAAGTTTTCCTTTTTGAGAGTTGATCCCTTCATAGAACGAACCAGGCCTTAATTACAGCCGCTCTATTGCTGACTACTCGTCCTCATCTGAGAAGGCTGACTTGGGAATGCTGGACTTCACCATCAGAGGTGATTTCACGAAGACATTTAACTGGAATGTGAAGCAACTGTTTGTATATCTTGTTGCCGAGTATGAGACTCCGGAAAATGTGAGTGAAGAAAAGTGTCCATTTGTCTCTCCTTGACTGTAAAATTCAAGTTTTCATGAGTCTATGACTTTCTTAACCACTTCGTAAGAAAACTGACGAAAACTACTTTGTCCAGGCAATGAATCAGGTTTCTTTGGGCACAAAATTGGTATTGCGACGGTAACGAGTTGTGCTCGATGAACGTCGTCTTCAAAGCAAATACTATTTCTTGGATGACGGCACTCATTTGCTCAATCATCCTAACGTCACTCTTGTTCTCAGGTACGATTTCGGTTCTTTGAATCTCGAATTTCTCCGTTTTTGCTGCTGGAAGTGACTCTCCAAGATTATTATGTGCGATGTTTCGGGTCCATTGGAATCACCTCAGAGCCCTACAAAACCATCAATCAGACATACTAATCGTACGAGTTTATGTGACTGCACTGATGGTGTGCTGGTCCCCCCAAAAGATTTTTGGAAAGACCCCAGAATATTAGAGCGGATGCGGCTCAAGCATTTAATTAGTCTTTTAAACACGGAATAACGCTTCGAGGGGGTTGTTTGAAAGGCCCTGTCTGTGCAAGAAGATTAACTGTCATCAGCGGAGTTCAACTACTGCATCGGCTGAATTTTGCGATCGATGCGATTTCAGAAGTTTTTCCCCCTGTAGGCTCATCAAGAGAAAAAATGAAAAAAATAGAAACAAATACACTGATGAAATATTTTCAGAAGATTGAAAAACGCAGCTTGTTAACTTAGACCTTTAACCAGAAGTTCTTCTCCTTTTCGAGTCAGAAAGTATTTGCGACGGGTTTTCAACGGCGAACTCGAAGATCTTTTGCGGTTTTTAGACTTTATAAGCATAGCTTACATAGCACAATTTTTTTGCAATAACAAAAACATTATACGAATATGGAATATCCTGCTTCACAAGACATACTACCTTTTCCGGATACGCGCTAGGTTGCGAAGGTAAACATTTTGGATGGGTTGTCAAATTCGCTGAACAACTAACTGGGTCAAGTTCTTCTGGTGTCTTGTGATGAAAACTGCTGGTGCGGAGACCTTGGTATGCCCCCAAACTTATCGTTGAAAGCGTTGAGAGAGTAGCCCTCAGTGGGACTTTCCCAACGATGATCTGTACTGTGTCAGGGGGATTCCTTTTAAATCCCCTTGGTAATGAGCGCCTCGTTTTTAATTTTTTTAAAAAAGATTTTTCGTCTCAGTAGATGGAGAATTGATCAGTTTATATTCGTTGTCGGTCAGTTCCGACATCTAAGTGTTTTCTATTTCAGAATAACAGACGGTTTGTTCCAAACGCCGGTTATTTGAGGCTATCACAGGCCGAGGGACAAGCGATCGTAAGGTTCCCAGCTACCTACACCACAAAGAAGCACTAATAATCGTTTTCTGAAAGTCAGGTTTCAATCAGGTGGCAGTAAAAGCGTGCATAAGTTTCCATTACAGTTGAGATGTTTTTGTTCTATCAAAACTGCCGGCGATGTTGTGTCTG